CCCCCCCCCCCCCGCTCTAAGTGCCACATCATTGTAAAGAAAACACGGTGTGATTTATGCAGCTCTAAGGGGGTTCGGTGCTGAGTGTCACCCCCCACCTATTAATCATCCCTGGGATTGCGTTGAGCAATAAGCTAGCCAGCCGCTAACTATTCAGATGTCACACTCTCGCTTTTTATAAAATATCAGGCCTGTGTTTACACGACCATCCGTCTTGGCGCTCTGCGGTTTTCAAAGCCGGCGATTGTTTGGTTTTTCTCGGCCTCTCCTCGCCTATTTATTCTCTCCTCTCAGCGCCTCGCATGGCGTGCTGTTTAGTTCAAGTCGGATCATAAAAATTCTTGTCCAAGGAATAATGTGCTTTTCAACCCAGGAGGTGCGGGCGGCCGGAGAGGCAGAGCGAGAATTAATATCCAGACAGCACTGAGGTATTAGATCAGAGAGTTAGCCTCGTTCTTTTTAAATTCAAAATATTGGGACAAGGAGCTTAAGTTGGTCTTTTCAAAGCAAAAATATTGGGACAGAGAGATTAAAGTTCTGAACCGAGGAGCTAAATTTGGTATTTTTAAAGTCCAAGTGGAAGGTCAGGAAACTAAATTTGGGTTTTTAAAAGCTGGTTGTAGTGGGAGAGATAACTAAACTTGGTCATTTTTATAGGCCATAAAGAAAGAAAGCATATAATTAATGATATATTTATATCTGTAAATCCTACAGTAACATGAGCATCAGTACGAAAGTCCAGTTTACCAAACCAGAAACCCCTGAGAGAAAGTCCTGATGTGAGCTGAAGCTGCCAGTCTGCCTTACAGCTGTCATATTCTGTCTGGATGTTTAACAGAATAAGCCAAACGTCTTACACTAGGGCCACAGGAAATACTGACAGGTGACTACTAACAGAATAACAGCATATCATAAAGACAGATTTGATCCAACAGTTGAACCGCTCCTCTTAATCATCATCTAAGGTGTATTCAACTACAGGTAACCAGAGCAACAGTATGGATGTTAAAAGTTGCGTTACGAGGTGAAAGTTCTCACTGAAAAGAAACTAAAAGTTTTTAAATTGTGAAAAATATCCATTCCAATTTACCAAAGCCCACTGCGACGTCTTCAAGTAGCTTGTTATTTTTTCACCAAATATTCCCAATTCAGAAGCTGGAGCCAGCATTTTTACTTCAAAATGACTGGAACAAAATCTAAATTGTTTTACGATTCATTGTTTTTCCGCTCTATAAAAGTAGTAACTGCTTAAATAAATACAGTAGGGACTATATATATATTTACTTAGACATTCTCTGTCTTTTTGTTGGGAAGAGAGAATGGTGGCGAAAAAAAGACAAGCTTTAACAAAAACACTGAGGAGCTTTGCAGTAAGGCGGTTTTCTATTTATGAGGAAACAGAAGTTGTGTTAAACAGATTTTAAATGCGGGGACAAAGAGAGCGCTGGCATGGAATCACACAATATCTAAATTTAGCAAAATTCTGATCTAACTCAGGAAATATCTGATTGACGCTTAAATACACTAGTATGAAGAAGCAGTCAGTGCCAGCTTTTGGTATTCCACAGTTTTCCAGGCTCAGTGATACACCAGAAACATATTTGTATAAACTCAAAAGGCATTGAGGTTCGATACCCGGCCCTGCAATTCAATTCCCTCTGGAGCCGTTCAGACTAAAACTGTCCTCTCTCATGATGCAGTGAGTCTGTTTGTATAAAACTGTCGATGTAACATGTCATCTGAGGAATTCAGTATTACTGCTCTCAGTGGAGACTGTCTGATGGTTCCCACTGGTCATTCCTGAAGTTCCAGTAAGGTTCCACGCAGGGAAGGTCAGAGAGGTGGATAGATTTTCTGGAGCAAACAAGGGATTTCCTTTTAATATTACAGTGCTTTTTATTTAATCCCATTAGATGGTTTTCAGCCCAACTGGAGCAAAATCCACACTGCAGGAAACATCAACAAACCAGAGAAGCAATTTACATTTAAAGTGGAAAATCTTTGAATCTGACTTGGAAGAAAGAATGACTATTCAAACGCTCTTAACATGGCATGATTGACGCCCCTAAAACTGCTGAAAAAGGCTACTGGCTACCTGTCCTTCTGTCTGAAATCAGCAAACACAGGGATAACAAATTCAGCAGCATCAGTAGCCATATTTAGGACCTAAGGAGGCTAAACACAACTGAGACGATGACTCAATTGTCATTAATCGGCAACTATGCCAATAATCAATTATATATTACCTAGATGTAGTCAGAGAATATTAAACAAATCCGACTGTGGGATCTGTAGTTTTCATCTTTATATTAAGTGGTGTTTCGACCAGAGCAGCGGCCTCTATCGCAGACAAACAGACCACATTCTTAAACTCTGCTCCTGTTTGTTATCTCTTGCTTATCGCTCTAAAAACCCAACGGAGCAGCTTGAAAACACTGATCCTGACCCTTCAGACACTGCGGTTACAGCAGATATAATACTGTAGAGTTATTTAACCCTGTGTGGGACAAACTTAATCTTAGAGCTACACTTAGCGATTGAAAGACACAGCTTTATTTAGGCTACCGGTTGTGGTATTTTCACTTAAATTTGTATTGGCAAGAAATGATAACATTAACAAAAAAATGTTCAGGGTTTCCCTTCACATTGGTTCTATTATTCATGCAGTCGTGTTGATGGTTTTATTTGTAGTTTTGTTATGATGTCACTGTTTTAACTATCGTATAGAGCTGAAAACAATTAGTAATTAATGTTAGCTGGTAGCCCCGTTTAGTTCTTTTCAAATGTTTCTTTTTTGAGAAGATTTCTTCAACAGTTAGTAGGAATTGGTTCTGTGTTTGGGGGTTTCTGCCAAATATCTTGTGATAGCTGCACCAGCAGTTTTTAACTTTTTGGCTAAATGTAATTAGTTTGAGCCCTGTAAGGTTCTTTAGGCATGATCACTGGCAAAAATCATTTACTGAAAAGACAAGATGTTACTTTGGGCTTCGTGTGCCACTGTGACTTTTTGCCTCATTGCTGCGATCAGTTTAATCAGATTCAACTTTGATCTTTGTCGGAGACTTTCAAAACATAACGTAGAAGGATATAGCTGTCATGGGTGTTAGTCAGACAAACAAGACATATGAAGTTGTTCCTTTAATGGATTCATAAAAAAAATATGTAGTAATGATCAAGTGGCTGCGGTGAGGAGATCTGGATTTGTAGAATACAAGTTTTAAGAGTCATTTAATCAGTCCCAGGTCACAGCAGGAAAACTACCCTTGAACCCCCTCAGGTGTAGAGCTACCTCAGCTTCAGTCTGTCAGCTCTTACAGAAAACAGGCATTATATATTTATCCATATTTTTCTGAGTTCAGCTGTTGCAGAAACACACTCATTTATCTCTAAAGTGAGTCCCAGCCGTCCCCTTCGTGTTTTATCCATCAAATCCCCAAAAAACCTCTTCAAGCGGCGGTGAAAAACTCCCCCTGAACTCCCCCAGGTGGCGAACTGCTCAGAAAAACTACATCTGAGCTGAGAAAAGTGTGTCCACATGTGAGCGATGGGATGAAAGTGTTTGTATGAGATGTCCTCCCACAGCTGCTCCAACTGTTGACCTCTGAAAGTAGAGGCCAGTAATGGAGGGAAGACGGAGGGGAACCTGGGGGAGGAGAAGTCATTCTCTGGTCATCCATCCCAAGAATCAGCCCCCCTGACTGTCTCAAACCTCGATCCCGCTCGCCTGGACTTCCTCTCAGAGCTCAGTCCCTCTGCAGCTCACAGCTTGTCTACACTTTACTATCATTTGGCTTGTTTGGATTGGACGTCATCGTTTGCTGCCTCTGTCTTGAGCTGCATGACACAGATATCATGTTTCTTGTGTGTTCTCATGTTTGTTAAGAAGAACGTCGTCTTCATTTATTTTTTTGCACCTTGAAAAATATTTAAACAAGCACAGAACTTTCTGCAGCCCCACAGGGCAGCTATGGTGACAACACATTAACTAAATAGAGATCCGTTTATTTGAGTGTTCTTCAGCTCTGTGGACGATCTGTGGTCTTCATCATGACCCATGTTCATGTGAACTTAACATGACTGCTCCTGTCATATGGGTGTATAAGAGAACTGGATACAACGATACCACTCAACTTTGCTAGTAGTTTGTCCTCATGGACAGATAGATTATATAATATATATAATATATATATGAGTCTATTTGTAAAACCAGAGAAAATTGATTTTAATGTAAATCCCAATGAGAATGACCAGTAGAAGAAACACCAATGAGCATGTGCAGTGAAACGTGAACAAAGGGTAAGACTTTTTTGGCTGCTGCGGGTCGGCAAGCATCTATAACATCTATAACCCTGTCTTTAGTCTTTAGTAACAGAATCAGACTGTATTGTACTGTAATTCTATTCCCCACTGTGATTTTAACTGAATATCAAGAAAATCTGCAAATGAATGCATGTTTGCATCCACTACTGTTTTTCAATTATTAGGAGTTGGTTTGTCAAGATGAACAGTTGATGGCTTTAATGCTCCAGTCAGGTGTCATTAAACCACTGCAGAGGAAGAGGATGTATTTAAATGAGTGCCAGTCAAACGAGCAGAAAACAGTAGTAGCAGATAGTGGAACTACAGTTACAGTTTGTAAGTGGAGGAATGTTACAGTCTTATCACGCCACACAGATTTTGCTTTTGTCTCTTCAGCGGAAGCTTCAGTGCACATTTAAGTCACATGCTTCATGTACATCTTGATTGATTCCCTCAGTTTGTTGCTTTGTACACTGTCGCATTTTGCTTTTATCAGTACACCAACTTTTCCACCTCAGCCAAACGAAAAACTTTCCTGCTGTTATTTTAGACTGAAGATGACAAACTCTTTGAACCTTTTTGTCCTCTGCTGTTTGCCACGATGGTGTCAGCTGTCGCTGCTGGAAGATTCATGGTGTAACCGTAAAATATCTACTGCAGGGTACTTAGTTTTTGTAGCTTTTCTCTTCCCCCACCCCCTTCCTCTATAGCCCCCGACCCCGCGAGGCATCAGTATCCCCTCGTCTCTAATTGTTTCAAG